TGCTGTTAAAAGAATGAGGGTGTTATCATGCAAGATAAAGAAAAACAACAATTTGGTCCTCTTTCGTTGTAAAATAACATGAATCGCGAACAAATTTAGTTGAGACGTGAACCTAAAGGAATAAATCGCTTGTAGAGCTCTTATCATTGTTGTCTTCCAGTTTCATTTGCAAACTTTAAAAACGGACGCATGATGAATGTATAGACTCTGACTCTACCAGATTTGTCACGTAGCTACAAAATAGTAGAAACTGGGCAATAAGACTGAATTATTTGAAGGAGCATTTAGTCGACCAAGGGATTACACATGGCAGCCCATGATTCTACTGTTTTCTGCAATCCAAGGGCCCTGGTACAGACTACAACATGTTAACAATGTAAAGATACGCTATCTGGTCTTCCCGAGATCTTAATTGTTGGTGTAATCCTGGGACCCGTTCTTAATGTGTACTTAAGACCACCTAGCGGCACGCCGGCACGTGCTGGGATGACACCACAGATAGTACCCACACGTGCCCGGCAACAGGCGACCTCAGATCTCCCACCGGACACAGGCTTCGTGTGCTGGCCACTAATCGTCCATTGAGATGTACGTGTGGCTTTCTTATGCAGCGTTAGACGGACAATAAAGGCCCCTGACAATGCAAGAAGACAGTGACGAACTATGATAGATGAAAGAACGAACAGAATAGGATGAGAAACGCTTTTTCGTCACCAGTCATTGAATACAACGCCATAACGACATAACTTTTGTAGTTGTGCACTAACCAAAGACGTTATGTATAATGTCCTTGCTAACGTAACAAAATATACGTTTTGTATCTGTACAGGCACTATAATGATAATGTACGTTTGCAGTTTATCCCCCATAGCAGTATTGGCTTGGTGACTTTTAGAAACTGGGCACATTCAGAGCTTATGTACAATAGAAAAACAGCACGTAACGGAAAAACAATAACACAAAAGACAACCAAGAATCCTGTTATGGGACCTTCCAATCTTTCATGGCCAAAACCGTCCTTGGTAATTGTTGATTTTCAATTATATTGTGCTAATTGAAATGTAATTACCGTATGAGTGGGTAGAAGTGTCCCGTGAGACGGCTGTTCTTCAGTAGACTGAGTCATCTGTAACCGTCATGTCAACTTTCATTCGCATAGTGGAGCTCGCTGTCACCAAGTACAGTAGTACTATAGGTATTATGATCATTAGATAGCTTTAAACAATGTTAAGAGTTAGATGTTCAAGGGTTAGGTGTAACAAGTCGTTTGGTGTAATGTAGCCAGCTGCCGCCGTGCTGCGTGCTTGCGAAGCTGGTGTGTTACGCCTATCCGAAAGGCGGTAATACCGGCTATACAGATACAGATACAGAAGCTGGTGTGTTACGCCGAAGGGCGGTTATACCGGCTATACAGATACAGACACAGATTCAGAATGAAGAATAGACGTCCGTGTTCATTGGCGTCCATGGAAACCATACGAATTCTTCAATTTCAGTTTTCATAAAAAATGATCACTCATTATTAACCTAGGGGGATTAACCTAGTAATCACATTAATCACGTTCCAGAAGATGTCTTATCTTAAGTCTAAATGATCAAATTAAGGCTACTTAGTTAAAGCCTTATTCTTTCCAAGTCATTTGCTAACCACCCGAGCCAGAATTTATCATGGACGTTTTGTTCCAGACTGCTATAGTTCAAATCTTTTCAAAATCAATTTCAAGAAAAATAGTTGTCAAATACATGCATCATATAATATGGACAGTATCGATTTCGCCGTGTATGTTTTATCTAATGACATATACATATATCTGGTAATTACCATAATTAGAATAATTGTATTTCCTTTTGTGTATCTGTAGATAAAAGTCCCCGCGTATTTTTGTTGGATAAACAATTTACTAACTTACTTAATGATGAATATTCAACATTGTACTCTCACATGTGGCAACAAATTGTAATAGACTTGTTCATTCTTTTAGCTCATGGCTTAAAGGCATCCAGTGCAGTTTCTATGCTTGGAAATTTCGATTTTTCAAAGCCAATGTTCTAGTCATTTATTTACATACTAAGTTGAAACCACACTAATACATACTCTCATGGAGCAAAAATTCCCAAATTTCTGACGGAAAATGGTTACTTGAAGGGCCCTAGGCTGATCTTTAGGGTACCACCCAGAAAATAAAGGGCTCATATATTGTGGCTTGTTTCTGCAGTTTTGAATGACCAAAGTATGAAATGCTGATTTAAAAATATATATGCGCTGATGTAGGATAGTATGTGTCAATGTCACAAAGATTGCCTTATTCAGAATATTTCCAGTTTTGCTGCCTTGAAATAGCATTTGATGCCTTCAAAAACACTTCTGATTCGATTCTGTCATCAGAAGCGCAGAAAACACACACAGATAGGGCCATTTAGTAATGGAGGGAGTAGAGGATTAAACATTGTCTCATAGCGGACGCACCTGCCAACAACGCGCAATTTGATCGAGACAACAAGATAGCAACAGGAAAACACTAGCAATGAAAGATTACGCCAGACCAGGGGATTTCAGTAAGCTGGCGGGATTATAACAAGAACAAATGTTCGTGCTGCCCCTCCGCTAAATAGGATCAAGTTATTTCAAGCGTCGAGTCACATGAAAGAGCCAGAATATGCTGGAAAATAGCAGGGATTTACCGCGATCGGCGGGACTAGAGGGCCGGTCGCCAGCGCGTCATTTCCAGCATTGTTACGACAAGTTACCGCGCATTCGGGCCGTGTTTAACTCAGAGATAAAGAAATCCAGGACAGGTGCACACACCTACGATCAGGTATCCACTCCTCTCCCAGGGAGGTTTGTAGGATTTGTGTCTTTTTTGTTGCCAATTGACAAAGGAAGGTTTGAGCCGCAGTTGTCCGGATCATATTCACTATAGTCGCGATACAAAAGCGCAAAGGCGAAGTTGGGATAATTACTTAGTTAAAGGTAAAAACGCCGCGGCGTGCATTTTTTACGAAGTCGATTTAAAGCACAGGATCTGGCCAAGGCTACCATGCCGATTTGTTTGATGTTTTCTCCCAAAATCATCGTGACATTAAACCTTTACTATAACAATATGCTCTCACGCCATGCGTGCATGTTGTCAAAGTGAATCGAGATCCATCTGTGTTAAAAATAAGATAGTACTTATTACCTTCGTTTTCAGAGGCGTTCGTGTATGTGTGTGTGTGTGTGTGTGTCTGTCTGTCTGTCTGTCTGTCTGTAAACACGATAACTTGAGAAGGCCTTGATGGATTGTCTTGATACTTGGTAGGTGGGTAGGTCTTGATGAGACCTCAAAATGATTAGATTTTGGACCCCCTAGCGGCTTGTTATGGTACTGCAGCTGAACTTCCGGTTTTGATATCTCATGATCTGGACATGCTATGGTGATGAAATTTGGATGGTAGGTAGCTCTTGTGCTGGGGAAGAAGTGACGTGAGTTTGGACCCCCTAGCGGCTTGCTCTGGAACTGCAGGAATATATTCTTGAAAATATTAAAAAGAGGATAACTCAAGAACCGGTTGACGGATCATCGTGATTTTTGATATGTAGGTTGCTTACGTGATGCTTAATACAATTATGTGACAATTATGCAAATATGGATGTAATTTGCATAATTTATGGGGAAATTCTATAAATCAGCTGCATTCCATGATAAGACAATTGAAGCTTGTGACATTGGTAATTGACAACGAGAGAAACACAGGCAGATATTGATTATGTTAATAATGACTTAATTTGCATAATTAATGAAAAAATTTAATAATTATGTAACGATAACTGTCTGGAATTTCATACTTGTGGTATTTTAAAGTTAATTTGAGGTGAACATCATTAAAAATAATTTATTCAAATCAGGACCTCATTCGCATAATTTATTAGGAAATACTAGAATGCATTGTTTGTTATTACAAGACTGTCTTTTGGTCGAGATTATGATAAAATGATATAATTCATGAAAATTAGGTTCCTATTTGTTACATCAGGGGGGGAATAATCTAATGTATAATTTGTCAGTCATAAAGATTAACATCATTTGGCGAAGGTATGAGATCATGGAACTCTAGTTATCTTATAAGTTTGTGTGTGTCGTCAGGTTTGCACATCGCAATTGCTAGTACCTAAAAAGGGTATACCAATGCAGCTGAGCGATCGTCTCTTATCATGTCAAGAAAGAGCGATATCCTGGGCACTTAGTGAGACCTATCACTAACTGGCATTGGGGCACTTTTCTATTAAATTATGCTAATCTCAGACCGCAACTGGTGAACTATGACGATATTTGACAAATTTATTGTGTACCTCTTATAGCTTAGCCTGATCTTGTGTAAAAATTGAATATGATGTGTATCTTTCTCAGCTCCGGTGCAACTCAAGATAGAAGAGACTCCTAGCGTCACAGAATAGAACTTCATTTTGTGTAGACAAAAATGTCTTCAGGACCTTCTCCACACTCATCACTGTTAAAAAAAGAATTAAGATGGACACAACAGTGTCGAGATAGATAAAAGATAGAGACGAATGACTTCCTCTCCAAGTCTTATCATTGTTAAAGCGTCAGCTACACTGCGTCTTTCTTTAAAATCATGATTGATAGAGCAGCACAATGTGTATGAATCGACCAATGGCGAAGCAAGTTTTGTAATTCAATTGTCATTGTGGCCTTTCTCTCAAAGCGCTCTTGCAAACTATTGTCTCATTTTGGTGACTTCACTTAATGAAGGGTTTTCAATGATTTATCTGTGAAGAAGTACCAGAAAATTTTGTCAAAGGTTGTGTATTGAACTGAGGTTGACCTTTTGGCTTTTGGCTAAATATAAACCACTTAGATCTCAGTAGATGTTGGGATGTCTCCATTACATATACATGTATTATTACAAGTATGATAAAAGTTATCCTCAGCTGAAGTGAAGTGTAAGGTTTTTTCAAGTAGCTAAGAGTCCAATCATTCTGTCAGTATGGGAAGCATGCAACTAGCAAGAGACAATGGAAAACAAAGGAGGTGTCTTTGAATGGTTTATATTTGTAAGCTATGGATATCAAAGATTGCAGTTTTGAGCCATTCCTTGTGTGATTAACACAAACTGTCATCATATACAGCACTGTACTTATAATGACTTTTGCTTCATGTAACTTAAATCTGCCTCATTCCTTTTTAGTCTGCACTTGGCACTCTGTAAACATTCAGGCACATTCAAGATCATTACACATAATGAAATACATTGTATATAACTATTACATTTATAACATTTCAGTCACCACCTACTTGCTTGTACATGTATACATAAAAGCTGAACATGTGTTACAAAATAAGAAATTGTAACTTCTCACGTTGTCATCTCTCATCTCAGCTTCTAGCACAAGAGACCCCTAGCATCACATACTGGTAATGCAACCATGCCGATGTTCTAGTACAATACTTCCCGACATTGTCACCTGCTAAGATCTATTATCATTTCTAAACGAAGAAATGCTGTCCCCTCAGCACCCCCATGAAACTCCTTCCTCTTCGCCCCCGCCGTTCTGCTTCGCCCCCGCCCCGTTCTGCTTCGCCCCCGCAAAAAATCTGCTTCGCCCCCGTCGTTCCTCTACGCCCCCGGCGCAATTCTGCTTTGCCCCCGTCCTTCTGCTTAGCCCCCAATGGCGGCACAGCTCACAGTCGACACGAAAATCGTCTGCAAAATAACAATAAAGGCTGTGCCGCCAAATTTAAAGTAGCCCATGCTCCGGCAAACATTCTGGACCACCTTTCTGCCAAGTGGCGTTGCACAAATCCTTCCCATTCAAAAGTTTACCCCTACCTCACGGCCCGTCAGTGGTTCTTACGTTTATAAGTACTGGCGGGAAATTTCACTCACGGCTGTACTTATAAACGCCAGTACTTATAAACGTAAGAACCACTGACGGGCCGTGAGGTAGGGGTAAACTTTTGAATGGGAAGGATTTGTGCAACGCCACTTGGCAGAAAGGTGGTCCAGAATGTTTGCCGGAGCATGGGCTACTTTAAATTTGGCGGCACAGCCTTTATTGTTATTTTGCAGACGATTTTCGTGTCGACTGTGAGCTGTGCCGCCATTGGGGGCTAAGCAGAAGGACGGGGGCAAAGCAGAATTGCGCCGGGGGCGTAGAGGAACGACGGGGGCGAAGCAGATTTTTTGCGGGGGCGAAGCTGAACGGGGCGGGGGCGAAGCAGAACGGCGGGGGCGAAGAGGAAGGAGTTTCATGGGGGTGCTCAGGACCCTTTACAAGACACGTTACTGTTTACTATGCTGGTATAAAATTGTAACTTTCTCATCTCTGACACAATCTAACATAGAAGAGACCCCTAGCATCACAGAGTGGTACTACAAGTGTACACACTTCACAGCTCATCATGACCAGCATCATATGCTGCCCACCAATCAGACAGTGCCTTGACCTGTCCCCAGTCCACCAGCGCCCACCAGTCCTGGATGTGGTCAGGACGTTTGTTCTGGTGCTTCAGGTAGTAGGCGTGTTCCCAGATGTCAATCACCAGGAGTGGGCGGAGTCCAGTGCTGATGGGAGAGTCCTGATTGGCTGTTGTGTGGATGATGAGAGTCTGTTCTCTGGGATTGCGTGACAGCCACACATAACCTATTCACATGAAGAGGGAAAAAATCGTAATTTCTTCCATAATCACTGTCTACAGTTCAGTTTTTCATGTTGGAAATTATTACAGTTGAACTTAAAAAAAAAACAAAATTTATGTCACTAGACAAGAGAACCCTAATAAAAAGTCTAAACATAAAGGTTGGCTTCAGAATCTGTAAAATTGTATATGATTTTGTATTATGTCTACTTTCTGATATTCTCCATGTATTGACTCACCTGAACCAAATAAAGTCTTGGCAGTGTTTGTGAACTGTTCTTGGAAGTTACTGAAGTTGTGGAAGTTTGCGATGATCTCGGTGGCCAGGGTGGCTTCAGGAAGTCTGGGGGGTTCACTCTCTCCTCGAGGGGACATGGTCGCCCAGTAGATGGCATGGTTCACAAACCTGGGAAACACAGTGGGACTAGTTAATGTTACAGGACTATGTTGAATAGCTCTGTCAATAACTTTGTCAGGTTGGTATTTCAATTGAAAGTTACCACATAATGAACACAGACACAGAAGATAAAGGATACAGAAAGTGAAATACACACCCTATGCCATTGAGAAAGAAATACTAGTATACAGATAGGCCCAAAACTTGGGATGAGGCTGCTTTGGGTATATAATAATTGCAGGACTTCATTCTTAAAATTTCTAGTTTTGAATTTGTTGTAACTGACACTGATCACAGTGAGTGGGAGTAAGAGTACACCAGGATGGCATTTTGCTTGTAACCCTGGTGCCCAGGACAGCTGTAAGCTGTTGAAAGCGTAACTCCAGGTTCAGACAGGTCATCACCATCCCGCCTCTTCTACATGTGGCAATTTGCCAGGATTAAACTCCCCTGTAAACTCCTACACAGGTTAACCTACCATTGAACTAGGTCATACCATTACACTTTAAGGGTGTTTTTCAGAGAATAAAAAAAAGACTGTTTGAGACAAAACCATGCACATGCGTACCCTCCTCCATTGTTCCTGATGGCAGTCCTGTGTTTGTCTGGGATCTGGTCCAGGTTCTCCAGAATGTGGAGGATGGAGTTAGACTGAAGGCCCACCCCTGGTCCTACCTGTAGACAAGGAACAGTTGGTACATTCCACATAGTGTCTGGTTTTTCACTAGTACATTTACTACATACAATGTGGATTCCTAAAGTACATTACCATAGAAACAATAACTGGAACAAAATGGAAATTCTGACACCTTTTCATCGCTCAGAGGTTATTGTGGAAAAGTCAGAATGAAAACCATGAACTTAGAAATGCCCTGAATATTCTAAGAGCATACTGTATATGTTTATATTTTTTTTACCCCCAATAAAAGACATCTTCAGTGAAAAAGACCACTGCATTTACTATGAGATCAGAATAGTTACAAGTAAATCATAGTGACCTGTAGTACATTAAGTGGAAAGCTAAGTTACAACAGCTGTTTAAACATGATTAGATTTAGAAACAGCAGGACCAATCTAACCCCACTGAGATAGTCTAAACAAGTTGTCAATGAGCAACATGAAGCTAAGGATTTAATAAAGTCAGAGCACTCTGTAAATGGATTGCAAGTAGGATCACACTACTGAAAGCATTACCAGCTATAAAAAAAGATCAGAGATAGCAGACTTCACCCCTTAAGCACCCTCTGGCTCTGGAAGAGCATACAGGAACTGCAGACACACATACACATATTATTACATAAAATACACACACACACACACACACCTGCCAACCTGCCTAAATGCACACACACATATTCACAAATCCACAAATATGCGCACGCACGCACGCACACACACACACACACACACACACACACACACACACACACACACACACACACACACACACACACACACACACATTCACACACATTCACAAATACACACAGGCAGTATCACACACACAGTTACACACACACATGTACATATAACGTTACATATACAAAGACACACACACCATTCACAAATACAAACACGCAGTACAACATGTAACTGGAGAAGAAAATCCTACATGACCGAAGATCTACTCTACTCTACTCATGTATATAAACACACACACACACACACACACACACACACACACACACACACACACACACACACACACACACACACACGCGCGCACGCACGCACGTAGCAACATACAAACACACGCATACACTTTATCGCCAGCATTTACTAGCAGCCTAAAGAGCCTGTCAGAAGAGAGACAATACCTCGTCCCTCCACTTCTTGAGCGCAGCGTTCATCTTCCTGGTGTAACCGGCGTGGTGACCGAGATGGTGCACCCGCGCAGTCTTCTCGTCGATGTACGGCTCCAGCGCATCGTACTCGTACGGCAGCGGCGGCACGGGGTACTCATCCGCGAACAGCCGGATCCCCTTGTACGGTACGTCCACTGACAGGGCTATGTGGACGGAGAGAACGACAAAAATTACCCGCAACATTTCGGTATCAACCGCCTGAGTTTGTACTTTGTATATTTTGCTGGAGCACCTGTAGGTCAGAGGTCACTAGATTATGCCAATGCCTTCTAGGGGGAGTGAAAATATATCACTTTTCATCATAAAGAGGACTCACTATACTGCTAGACACGAAAAAATAAAGATTTCATATCTAATAATTTATTCTAATACCTTTCATGTATCTTTTATCTAATCGTTAATCTATCTAACAGCAATTTAATGTTTAAGAAAAAATTTAAAACACCCCTCGTGTCCTAGTCGGAAGGTCCATTGGACACCTGTTGTTCATATACCTCAAGAAACGAGAGGGGGTGGGGCAAAAATATAAATATCCAAATGTCGGGGTCTGGGAATGTGGTGTTGATCTGTGTGAATGCGAGATGCCCTAAGTGAATGCCATCATCCCACACCCCGTTTGGCTAAAGGAAGAGTTGACAAATGTATACAAAAGTTACATACACGTGTGGGTACTGTAAATTATATGCGAGTTCGGGTTCTTTTCTCTAAAACACATGTGACGTTTAGGCCACAAGTTTTGAATCTCTAGTCAAATGATGTCGGCTGCTCACGCATCAGTTTAAGGGGTCATTATTGTCGCGACATCGTAGTGTGAGTTGTCTGGACTATAAGTGGGACAATATGAGAGCACGGGAGAGCCAGAGTATTGAAGCTGCATTGTGCGCTAGATTCAGAAGAGGGCGTTGCGTATGTAGCGACGTAACATCGTTACACCAGTCAAGTTTTAAGATATGTGTCATACATACGAAATGACTTACTTTCGTATGGGCAGGGCGCTGGAGAGTCGTCACAGCATTTCCACTCCAGGTGCGACACCTCGCGGTACGCAGTGGTATAGACAGGGATGACGTTGAACCTGTTTAGACGATATATAATTTGAAATGTTGCCTATATCGTCGAATAACAACAATTAATAATCTTAGACTTGCAAGACATGGTTCACACACACACACAAAGAATATACTGCAGTATGCACCAGGACTGCAAAAATGTGAATCATCTGCCTTGAAAGGATCCGGAACACTGACTCAGTAGTGACTACCACAAATTTAAGCTACTGTGATTACGTTTAGTAGCTGATGTTTTGTATTAAAATATAAAGTGTCACACCTAGATGGACTTACTCGCAACAGAACGTGTTCCATGTGCATCTCCTGCGACAGTCCATCCGCGAGCCTGACCGCCGTCTGTAGGGTATCACCTCCTGGACCTCCATGGCACACCACTTCGGCTGTTTCCCAATGCTGTACAGACAATCAAATAAAGAAAAGCATAACACGAAAACAACAAATTTAAAACCCATTGGTAACAGTATTACCACTTTGTATGTCTGATCGATCGTACATTTAGAGGACTATCCAGCTGTATGTGGAGAAATGAATGAATTTAGCAATTCCACATTTTTCTCCAAAATTAGGTGAACCACTTTAGCATCGCCAATTTAGACAAAAGTGCTGCGCAACACTAAACTTGACAAGCTGTCGTGTATAATAAACACTCATGCTAAGGAGTTCAGTCTGGTCACAAAGATATAAATTCTATAAAGTCCGCACACCGGGCCTGTCACAGTTTTAAGATCAGAAAGCTTGCCAAGTTTTGTTGCGCAGCACATTCTGTATGAATTGTATGTCAGCTATACAGACGGAAAAATCATTCGTTATCTCGACCTATGCCATACAAAAACAAAAATTAACGATGAACGGCGATATCAGTATACGGTCAAGTGCTGGTTTTGTGCGCGGGATATGACATAGTTTGAAACGTCTGAAATGTTAGCTTGCCTATCGAAAACGCCACCATGTCTAGATCTTATAAATATGCTCTAAGTTCATAACTCCTTACCTCGGCGGAGAAGGCGTTTCTTGTGCAGACGCATTACCCAAGATCGTCACCACAAAAAGAATGGCAAAGAACACTCGCTGAAACGCCATTACTGATCTAAATCTTAGACTCCCAAATCCAACTGTGAAGCTGAACATTGACCGTCCCCCAGAACAGTCTGGAAGAGCGCTGAGTTTGCCAAACTCAGTGTTTGTATAACCCGTATTTTGTGCTTATGCAACGTGTTTTTCGCATTCCATCTACCCTGCAAGAGGCGTTAGTCTGACCCTGCTACCATAAATCCAGCATCACCCGTGTCCTCGGTGTTGTTGAAGTTTTGCAGAGCTGGGAGAAGTGTGACAAGCGGCACCATGGATGACACGCACCATCTGGCTCTCTATAGCTACTGCTTCTCAAAAAGTGTGTTGGCACATTGAAAAAGTGTTGTATATTTGTGAATGTCGACGTTTTTAAATCATATAATTGTATACGTAATTATTACCGCTAAGGTGATAGCGTAAGGCACATGATGTTAAACTGTCTCTTCTTGTCTAGCTATATATATAGGATCTGTTATCCTAGATCTTCTCTCAGTTACTCTCATGTTGAGCCAAAATATTACCGGCCATTCAAACGGACATCTCCAGTTTAACTCCATGGGTACCTCCGATATAATAAGTACTGGTACGTTCTCAAAGGTGACTTGACAGCTAGGGCGTGAATGTCGTTCTCATGTATTTCCTGTCACTTCTGTTCAAAATCGCTAGGTAGCACTCATGTTGCTGCAGCGTGGGAGCAAAACCACAGAATGACGATCGGGCATTGTGAGGGCACTTGTGCAAAAAGACGAGGCTTTCCGATTTTTCTCTCCGGTGCTTTGAATCGTCTAAATTTAAAAGATTTCGTTAATTCGCGTCAGAGATAGAATCTATAAGCTTTAGTACCAGAGTACAGCACGTTATTGTTGATCTTTAGGGCTAATTTAGGGGCATTAGTTTGGAAAGTTTGTTCTCAAAAGGCTGAGTTTTACGTAGTTAATGTGTTACGCACGTGCATTTATTTATCCTTAACTTTCATTATTTCCCGAATAAAGAATTCTAAAATTCTAAAAAAAATATATCAACGCATTCCGACAGGACCGACACTGGGAGTAAATGTGTGTTAAGATACCCGCAGCTTTATATAAAAAGAACAATACATCAAATGCAAGGCACGCACCTGTCTTGGGATGATTCATGATGAATGACGTCAGTCAGGCAACTAGTGCGGCCAGAAAATTAGACCACCTGATTAGTCTCCATGCATGCAGGCTCCGTCGAAGTTTTGGGTTGTTTTTGTTTCTTGATTAATATTGTTTTCTAATTGTTATCGATTGGGTTCTGATAGACTAGGCACCAGAACACGACAGCAAGCAGAAAACTGTAAGAAAACAAAAAAAGGCCTGCGACAGAGACTATTTTCCAGGCTATACAAGGGATAGTTGCTCACTTAGTTTTGCGTGTGCCAGAGTTGTTTACAGCGCATGAGTTAATTTCAGGAGAATGTTCTACGTACATACGTCATATCTGAAAACTCTCTGAAATTGCTAGCAGTTTTATTTCCTAAATGACATAAAAGTGACACTTAAGTCTTACAACGTATCCTTGGAAAATAAACGTTATTGGTTCTAAACTGGGATTTCAAACGGTAGTTTTGTAGAGTGACTACATATTGCCATTATTAGATGGGCTTGCACATGCTTTGCACATGCATGATTTACTTCAAGGGGAAATATCTTTCAAATGATCTAAGAAATTGTCACACGACAAACCACGCCCTGTAAATGGACTGGAAAACAAGTGTAGTTAACATGTTAATGGCAGTTTTATTGGACATCAACTTAATTAGTGCACTGTACGAGTAGATTGAAACGATTTTCGTTGTGAGTATATGACGGGGATAAAATTGTGGATTTGTGCTGTAGATTGTTGGCTAAAAATGATGTTATGTCGTAGTATGCCTCGAGCTCTCTAATGTTGACTTGAAAATCTTGAAACAGATCCGTACCCGGTGAGGTAGTCCTGAGTCGACCCAAGGTCATGCATAATTCTCCGGCATCCGATATACGACCAACGCCCAAAAATACAGTATATTGTATGTTCAAAAAGCTATTATACGGATGAAACATGTGATTGTACATGTGGTCCCTAGTCCTTGTCTCAGTACGAATGTTTAACGTTATAGAAGTATTGTAGTACTAGTAAAGATTAGGTGGAATAAATTCCTTTCCGACCTAGGACTCTTAAAATTGTTATGCGTATTGCCGTTCCCTGATTTTCTGTCTTCATCAGTGGCCCCTAGGCCTACCTTGTCTCTTCCCGACTTCTATATATACCCTAGGCTACTCAGTGGTATTTGTACAAAGTCAGATATGTGAAGACGCCATTTTGCCCTTAGTAGTTTAAAGCCTGATTTGGTGTCAAACAGGATACGTGCACAGGGTCATCTTCCTTTACAAGTTTGAACAACGCGTACGACTGCATATCAGAACCTGGGATGTATATGCTGCATTTTCATATTGGCACATTCGGGAAACATTTTTCTCTTGTCGAATTCTATAGACATCAATTACAGTCTCCGGTGCCTGACAGTAATTATGACAGACTACTGAGAAATGACACGCCGGACGGAAGCTTAGCATGTCATATTCAGAACTATTGTTGTTGCATGATTCATCAGAATGTGCTTCAATGTGCTTGTGTTATAAACGTCCTCTCGATAAGACTGTGGGAAATGGCCGCGTAAAGTGATAGAGCAATGTGGTTTATCAAACCTCCTTGTTCTAATCCTTGGAAAAACTAACGAACAAACAAATAAATGAATGAAAATAAATGGATATTCAATTAATTTTGACAGTGACTACAAGATGAAAATTATATATACGCTGACAAAGGAGACAAAACTCTAGATACAGGATGAGAAAGGTTTAAAAATACAGTGATGTAATGTGACAACGCATTGCAATCTATGGTTTTCAATGGTCTATGAATCTTTGCCAATCAAGCAAATAACCAACCAATATTTTCCAACACTTATTTCCTTCTTCTTCGCAAAAGAAAAAAAAAACGCGAGATATTGTTATTCAATGTAAGGCATTTAACAGAACAAACGCAAATTGATGGCCATTGTAAATGTACCATTTGCTGATCAAACGGTCAATTCTCCACAAAGGGGGAACTTTTGTACTTGTCATGACGTCATGAATAAGTAATGAGACCGAGGCAACTTCTCTGGGAGTCCAAATTTTTCAGTCTCGGGGAACAGACACACAACTTCGGACCTCTTGGGTTCCTTTGAGACTTTTAGCCCAGTGTTTTGGGACTTTAGATCGTCATAGGGTCCTCTAGGACCGGAACAACTTCTTTTTAAGTTGGTAGTCGATGGTTGATCGCCGTGAGGACAGGCGCACGTCGTTAGCTGCTCGGGAAGAAATGGAGCTTGGGCAGCGTCCTGGCAGTGCCGCCCGCTCAGGGGCATGGGACAACCGCGGGTACGACGGGTCTCGGCCGACGTCTCCAGCTCGACTGGACGCCTCGGCATACGCTCGAGACTCGTACGGATCACCAGCGGCTATTCCATCGGAGATGGAGAGCGAGATGTACGTTCACGGCGGCACGGTGCGGGCAGTGCAACCGGCAGGGCCCGAGCAGCAGACCGGGTGTTGGAACAAGTTCAAGCGTTTCATCCGAGGTACACCTTTTACTTGAAACAAGCTAGTTGTGGTGCAGTTACAGCATAATCTTACACCTTAATGTACACAACAGGAATTTGGCATTTTAACGAGGCAAGGAATACATACTGAGGTGGTGAACACAAACTGATAACCGCAGAATTTGTATCACCTTCGTGACGAAGTTGTTTCGACGAAAAGTCATGTTACTAGGATGTAGGAACATGGTATCGGCAACCAAACTTCCTAAACTCGTACCAATAGTTGAAACAGATCGCTATTATGCAACCAAACGGTATCTCTAAAGAGTCTTTCTGGTTTGATTTCTTAAAAGATGTTGAAATGTTGAATGTGCGCAGCTGTTTTCAAGCTATCAGCGGTGAAGAATATATTTTAGTGTTTTAGTGTGAAGTAGTCCTAAGGTGTTGTGAAGAGTACCTTGTGAAGCACGAGTTAACTTACATAATTTTTCCAGAAAATACGTTCTCTAAAAATTTATTTTTAGAGCTACATATATCCTGAAGTCGCGAGGAAGTTGACACAGTTGTTTGTAGCACAGGTGGCCCAAAGTTTCCGCGATTTTCCAAGAAAACTCAGCGGTGTAGAACATCAGTAACAACAATGCCGAGAAGTCGTGCTAAGTTGGTCGCCATTTTGTTTTCCTTATTTAGCCTGAACATTTTTAGAGAGGTTTGTTTACACCTGTGTGGGACCTTCTTAAACAAGGCCCGCGAAACACCAAAAGCCTAATATTCATATTGTGTCTCTCTCACTTCCATCAATGTGTTATCTGTGATAAGATGAATACATCTTGCCTCGGATCTTACCAAAAATGGTGCTTTCAAGGTTTGATAAAAAAAGGGTTGCAAGGAAAAACAGATAGGAAAACAAATTATGTGAAGATGTCTAAATTTTTCATTATTGCAGCCAAGCCACTTTGCATGTACCAGCTCTATAAGGAATAACTTTGTCAACTTTGGCAGGTTTAGCTCTCAGTCTGAATTTAAATACATGTAGGATTCAGACATTAAACTAGAAGGTGACTGTCATCGTTTCTATGGCAACTGCACCCAACTAGCAAAGGGCGTAGGTCACATACAGTCTTGAAGACCTAGAAGATTCTCATTCACTCTATAAACAATATAATACATAACACCATGCTTAAAACATTATAGAAGCTGAAAGCAAGTTTCAAATTTGGTCTGGTAGTAGTTGTAGAAAGATGGTTATGATGTCCTTTTAAAGTCTTGGCTTCAACTGTACAGCAATTTTTTGTAAAATTGCCCTCTGAATAATAGATACCTTTTGGGAACATCAATTTATTTGATGGCATGCCTTCAATAGTTGCCCCTACACTCCCAAGATTGCCATGTAATTATAATCCACTCACATAATAAGAGCAGTATAACGTGCAAAATGGCAAGACGATTTACGCGCCTGAAACCAATAAATTATTCATACAAGGCATTGTACTGAAAAGAACAGCATCTTCATATTGTGTTCAGTTCTGTTTCATGTATGATTTATGGAAGATGAGCCCTATGTCTGGTTTTCTGAAATTTGATAGGGCTTACGAGGTACCCACATACCAACCCTAATATTATACAGATGTTTTGAAGAAAGTCCTGAAGGATTTATGCACATAAATGGCATTCCGGAACAGTCTGTCCAACTCCAATAACTCATGGAATTCTGTTAAAGGCATTTAAGATGATGGGGTATGATTATCTTGCTTTTCCCCGTGCATGAGTTTTGCTATGGATTTCTATTGTTCAAAGTTGCTTAATAATTCATGGGGGTTTTGTGTGACGAGATGTTTTGGTAACAAAAAGCGTACTCTCATTTTACACGCCGATTTGGTTATTGGATTGGTTGAAACCAGCCCAAACCGATTCATTCGAGAACTCGAAAATTCGGAAATGCACTTCTTGGTTGGACTGATTTAATTTTAAGATTGTCGCTAGAATTTGCTAGAAGTCAGAACTGAAAAATATCAGATTCACCTTGCCATGTCAGTCAATTCAATATCTTCACATACCTAGATTTTAGGTACGAAAAAAAGAACAAAAATGTGTTTTTATTGTTACAAAGTTCAAAGTACCTTGTATCAAAGGCTTTTTCTAGATGTTTAAATGTACATTTATAGTAGTCATCCAGAGTTGACTTGCCACTAGTTGGGTAATCCTTTATTGTATCCAGGTGGTCTGATCAGAGAAGTTGCCAAGCATGGATGATATCTGACAATGCCTGGAGGCATAGCTTATCTGTGTTGGCATGACAACCTAGGCAAACATGTTGATTTGGAGTAGAAAAGTTGGTTTGCGCTGGCCTCATTACCCGTATGATTAACACCTGAGCTGTCACTCGTAAAATTAAGTGGCTCAGCCTCATTTTCTGGTATGCTAGGACAAAAGATAACAATCTCCCCATTGTATTTTATTGACTTTTTTTCTAATATTATAAGACAAAAATGGCATTTTTCAAGAAAAATAAAACTATGAGGTACCAGATAGCAGAGAGACTGGGTGTTGTGGTAGTGCAGAGTTAAAAAAAAAAGTTGTATGTGAAAATGAGGCATTCTAAACTAAGACTACCTGAGGGTAAAAATTATGGTCAGACAAGTCACAGGTGACTACTACTAAAGGCACTAGTGTCACTGTACACTGCTAACCGTATGCAAGATCTTCTTGAAATTTAAGTGTCAAAAATAATAAAAGCTTTGTTGTTGTACACATGCTAAGATTAATTTTTTTGCAGCTATAGAATTTCACATTTCTGAAGGTTTGAAAAGAGGCAGTAAGGTCTGTAAATTGTAATGAGGCATTCTAGAGTTACTTTATGTTATGTTGTGAAGCTAAATGTTAAGGCAAGGTGCACTAGTGCATCTATTTCCTAAATTGAATTTTGAGACCTGTAGTGTAATGTTTATAAACATCTATGAGAGATTCTAACGGCATGATGGGAAATGTTAACTGTGTTCGCAGGTATGTGGGCTACCAGGCAGACGGAGGAATTCCATGGCGACAAGGAGCAATATGTGAAAACAACGCTGCGGGAACTTTTCACCTATATCATCTTTATCGTCATCTTATGCATCCGTAAGTATTGGCCCCTGGACCTGACCATACTAACCTCCACTGTCTTCCCTTCTCTTCCCTCCCTCAGCTATTTGGGCTACGCGGTTAGCCGATGACGTTGAGCCGGGGACGGATGAATATATCCGCATCACTCTGCGAGAACTTTGGACCTATCTTGTCTTCATATCCATTCTGTCTCTCAGTGAGTACTTGGTGCTTCTCCGGGTGGCAAAACCAAGTCCGATTTCCAGAGGTGAAAAAAAAATAATCTGAGGTATGCTTTGGTATCAACTTGTCCAATCACGTTCAATCTTTATTTGTTGGAATTGTTTTGTCAACGATCACACGCAACACACCAAAGCATAGATCAGAACAACTTTTTTGTCAAAAGCTCGCATTTTTGTTCCCCAAAAATGCTGAAGACGATAATACTGAAATACACTGAGCCTCTTTTATGGTAAAAAAACTTGATCTGGCATAGTTTGAACTTCTATTACCGGGTAAAACTAACCAGGTTATGCCCCCTGTGGCGTGAAGTTGATAACTTGGTCCATTGCTCATCTATAGGAAACTAAAACAGCGTTCCTAGAAGGGCGCGGAAGTTTCCGTGCCATGGCGAAAGTCACCATGGTGCTTTCTTGCGTCATCAGAATGCAGAACAAGAGAGGAGATTCAGTCTATTGCACTGGAAAGCGGACTAACATGCCACAAATCATCTCGCTGCACCAAAGAAAAGAAATACCTCCACCTGTACCGCATGTCTCTCCAACTTCTGTTCTTGCATTTCCCTTGAATACTTTTTTGTTCCTACATGTATGACACCTTTCTCTACAAGTATTACAGGTGTGTATGTGGATGGCATGTAGGAGATGTGTGTGGTATTTTCCGCCACGGTCCCTTTGGGACACAAGTTTGTTTCCCCCATGGGACACGATTCACCAGCTCTCTGACGCAAGTCACTCCATCTCTGTTACCTGGTGTCACACAAGACTTAGTCTATTGTCACTCACCCACTTTGTGTAGCTGTCCGTGTTGCGTGCAAGGAACTCCTGTCCCCCATTCTTACACATGCACGTATCATACACATATAGATCACTGGTGATGTCCCGTATTGTTCCTATTTTGGTGCGTATCAAGGATTGTTTTGAGACTAAGGTTTAAGATTTTACTTGTGAATACAAAACCCTGAGTCTGTGCAGTAAAATGTAAATTGACTGGAACTAAAAGCTTTGGGAGTCTGTGTATTTGTCTAAAAACACAAAAAAGACTTAAGATATATATAGCAAGTTATCTTGACTAAAGCTACACAAATTTACACAAAACTTTCTAGTAACTTAATAGATGCCAGTTTATTATCTAAAAATATCTGAAGTATCATCACCTACAAAAGTATAACAATGTCTTTGCGTTGCAGTTCTAAATGTATCACTATGACTTGAAATATGAAAATGTAGAATGATTAGCAGAAGTATTTGTACAACGATTCCAGAAATAGTTCAGAATATCTAGATGATTAGTCCAAAGGGATAGACCATATTGCAGTTTCTCGGAGGTGGCGTGGAACTTTTCAGGACTGTAGAATTAAGAGGAGCGCAGATGTTGGATCGGATCACCATCTACTCCTGGCTACTTGTAGGATTCGGCTGGCAGCCTGTAGGAAGAAGGTACAGAAATCGATCAAATACAACGTAGAGAGGCTGAAGAACCCGGAAACTAAACAAGAGTTCAGGCTCACCTTAGCTAACCGCTTCGATGCTCTACGGTATGACTCAGATGACGAGGAAGAAAACGAGGATGACATCGAAGCAGAATGGTCGACCATAAAAGAAGCCTTCACAAGTACATGTGAAGAGGTCCTGGGAAAGATCAAGAGGGAGAAGAAGGAATGGATGACCCAAGAGACTTGGGATATGGTAGAAGAGAGGCGCATCTTAAAAGTAGACATCGACAACAGTAGGACCAGGAACCAAAAAGCTATTGCCATGAAGGCCTATAATGCAGCAGATAAACGGGTGAAAAGAAGCTGTAGAAAGGACAAAAGGAGATGGTTCTCAGACATTGCTGCGGAGGCGGAAGTAGCGGCTTCAAAACAGGATATGAAGACCCTTTACAAAATCACAAAAACTCTGAGTGGCAAACGGAGACAGGTTAACAAACCGGTACAAGATAAAGAGGGTAAGTTACTTGCAACAAAGGAAGAACAACTGGAGCGCTGGAAGGAACATTTCACAGAGATCCTTAATCGCACACCCCCGTTAGATCCACCTGAAGTAGAGCCCCCTGAGGGAATGCTGGACATACGTACTGGACCACCCACCAAAGTAGAGATCAGGAAAGCCATCTCAGCACTTAAGAGCGGGAAAGCTGCGGGACCTGACGGTATTCCTCCAGAAGCTTGGAAGA